GTGTGTGTGTGTGTGTTGTGTGTGGTGTGTGTGTGTGTGTGTGTGTTGTGTGTGTGTGTGTGTGTGTGTGTGTGTGTGTGTGTGTGTGTGTGGTGTGTGGTGTGTGTGTGTGTGTGTGTGTGTGTGTGTGTGTACATATGTATTTGTGTGTGTAGCTATCTGTATAAATATGTACATGTATATGCCTGTATGTATGCATGTATGTATGTTTGTATGCACACAGATAGAATTATGTATATACAATAGAAACCAATTAAAATATACAGAGAGAAAAGCCACCTAAAATACATGTGTTAATTCTAGGGGGTTAGCAATTACGCTATGTTGACCACTGCAATCAAACGTAAAAATTAAAACGTTATGCAAGCGAGTTTGTATTTTTCTTATTCTATTTTTATTTATTTGTTTATTTTCGCCTTTAAGCAACCGAGAAAAAGACTAAAAAGCCTTCTGTCTACGCTCTGTGAATAGTTATTTTTATCTTTAATGTTCAATGTTTTAACAAATAAATGTGCTTGATCTATTTGAGTCAATGTTCGTCTTTCTGTGCCCGAATACTGGCGAGTTATTGGTTTTTATCGCTTTCGTTTTAACTTCCTATGTGCATTTTGTGTTGCATCCAAAGTAATAAATAGCTTTAACTCAAGGCGACATGTTTACCACTACGCTCGCACCCTTAAAATCTGCGACATACCATTCTTTACTACATCAATACACGAAGACAGATATATTGTACATATATAGAATTATCATATTCCCTTGGAAGTGCACAGAGTAATGTTAAATGACACTAAGAGAGAAAAAAATATAATCAGCTTTAATTAACGGATAATTTTAGGATAGGTTAAGTTTTCGTAGACCTTGCTTCTAATTTTCTACATATTCCCAGTATTTTAAGCTAAGGGTTAAGGTCAAGGACAAGAAATATATAAATAAATCATCTGCAATTTACTGTGTGACACCCCTGATAATTTATTACGACACAGATTGAAAACCCTTTCTTAGACTAATAACTAGAGACCTTTTATTTAAAGTACTGCAAATTTCGAGTGAATCTAGGTAGAACAGCTTGTATGTCTACAATAATAATAATATAATAATAATAATAATAATTAATTTGCTTAGTACTGATGTAATTGTTGTGAATTCGAAAGATACTGGAAAAATATTCATCAGCAGAGACTAATAAACTCTAAAAAAACTATGACTGTTAATATATATATATATATATATATATATAATATATATATATATATATATATATATATATATATATATATATAATATATATAATCTGACTGAGAACATCAACCAGTTTTGACACTCGCTGTTGAACCGGTTAATGCAATTTACTAGAAAGGGGCAACTGTGTCTCTTTAAATCAATATTTATATATGGCATTTATGTAGATTTTTGTTAGACGAATCTATGAACAAAATCTATATTTGCATACATAGAGATAGAGAAAGAGAAGAGATAGAAATGTATAAAAATCCTCTGAAATCTTTAAGATATGCACAGGGAACGAAATGTGGAGAAAAATGAGATACTAAAAGAGAGAGAGAGAGAGAGAGAGAGAGAGAGAGAGAGAGAGAGAGAGAGAGAGAGAGAGAGAGAGAGAGAGAGAGAGAGAGAGAGAGAGAGAGAGAGAGAGAGAGAGAGAGAGAGAGAGAGAGAGAGAGAGAGAGAGAGAGAGAGAGCGAGAGAGAGCGAGAGAGAGCGAGAGAGAGAGACGAGAGAGAGAGATAGATAGATAGATAGATAAGAGAGAGAGAGACCGTGCCCCAAAAATGCCTGATAAGACTCTGCTGTTATTTGAGTCGTAACTTAGAGGGTAAGTTCGACGCCATTTCAGATATTGGACCATAAATCCTGAAAAATACCGAACTTATGACCTCCTATATTGGGTCTATCATGATTGCTGCATATGTATAAGCGAGGGGGAGGGGGGAGTGTGTGTGTGTGTGTGTGTGTGTGTGTGTGTGTGTGTGTGTGTGTGTGTGTGTGTGTGTGTGTGTTGTGTGTGTGCGTGTGTGTGTGTGTGTGTGTGTGTGTGTGTGTGTGTGTGTGTGTGTGTGTGTGTGTGTGTGTGTGTCAATACGCGTTCGTGTCCATCTATGAATATACTTATTAAACATCCGCTTTCTCTGTGACAATGAAAACACCTTACTACCTTTTAACTGTCACCCAATCACCATCAACCACTTGCTTCCTCACTACCCCCACCATCACCTACCATCCACCACCCCACCACCATCCATCCCTACCCTCCATCCCCTTTCATCACCACCACCTACCATCCATCCATCTACCCTCTACCCTCTTTTCATCAACCACCACCACCTACCATCCACCTACCCTCTCCTTTCCATCACCAACCAACCACCTACCATCCACCCTAACCCTCTCCCTTTCATCAACCACCCACCACACCATACCACCCTACCCTTCCCTTTCACACACCACCACCACCTACCCATCCACCCTACCCTCTCCCTTT